AATTTCCGGATTAAAGCAGAAAGGAGTTTCCTTCGAAAAATAATTTCTTTCCGGAATTGTTTCGTCACAAGTAAACTGCGAATTGTAACGTTTAACCGTATTACGAGACTAGGTAGATAAAATTGAGAAACGCCTCGAGGTTGTAAGATAAAAAAAAAAAAAAAAAAAAAAAAAAAAAAAATGAGAAAAAAGAAAACGTTTGCGATAGCGCGAAAAAAAAGAGGGTAAAGTGGCGCGCGAGGGTTCGATAAGGACAAAGATATAAATACGGAGGGGGACATTAGAGAAAAAAGCGTCAGATAGAAAGAGACAGGGGGAGAGAGAAAGTAGGGTTGTTAGACAGAAAAAGCGTTCCGGACACTTTGCACAAGCAACGAATACCAAGTTACTGGCTGCGTGGTAAAGCGTGACAAAGAGCGAAACAGAGGGACGCGCGCAAACACGCGGAAGGCGGCGGCGTTTCTTCGCGAAACGCGATGAAGACGGAGGTGCCTCGCCACGCCGAACGAGCTCAGGGTTACGTTGCGTCGGTGCAGTAAAGTCGACAGAGATGAACATACCTGCCGGCACGTAGGAGCGGACGAGAACAAAAATATATATATACATATATATATACGTATATATATATATAATCGCGGCGAGGGTGGTGGTGCCGTTAGCGCGCGGGTAAAATAGACAAGGATGAAGGCATCATCGACGCGATGAAGTGAAATAGAGACGGAGATACCGCCGGTACTGTAAAGTCGACAAGAATAGAGACAGTACGCTGCGAGACGGACAGAGACGAAGATACCGCTGACGACGAGGTCGGCGATACTGTCGGCATGATGTAGTAAACGAGGATGGGAATATCGCGGGCGTGTTGCAGCCGACGAGGATGAGGCTAAAGCGAGACGAGAGAAGGCTAAAGGGCGAGTTGGGGGGAAGTAAGGGGATAGGGTGGCCGCGTCTGGCTAGCTCGAGACACCACTCCCCACTCGGTCTGGCTGCTCTCTCCTCTAGCTTCCTCTCTTTCTCTCTCTCCTCTTTCAGTGTTCGTTCGAACGCGGCCCGGTACGGTTCTATCTACCCCGTTGGTGTAGAAGGGTCCGCTTCGTGATGGGAACTCGCCGCCGCGGTGGTATCGGTAGGTTCCCTCGGTAGCCGGTTCCCAGCGCCGATGTTACCTTCCTTGGGGTGGATCGCGCGGTTCCAGTTAGTGTCTTTCCGATGAGAGCAGGTGTGTGTGAGGAAAGCGAGTTCAGCGGGGTGAGAGAACGTGCGTGAGTGCGAGAACACGATCAGGACGAAGAGACAGACAAAGAAAAATTCGTTGGAGACTGTCCGATGAGAGAACAATGTCGAAGATCTTAATAAGAATATTAAGTTAATCAGTAAGGAGACTAGAGAAACGTCAGCTTCGTGTTGATCAAACATTGCAGTTTGCTGATATGGTTGTGTTTGTTGGTGGAGTTACCGATACATCATCATCATCCCCTTGACAGCAAAAAGAAGCAGCACATTTATATCGCGCGGGAAAGATCGAATCGAATTTATCAGAATTTTCACGTTCGATATTAAAACTTAAGTTTTTTTTATTCAGTGTCTCTCTCTCTCTTTCTCTCTTTCTCTCTCTCTCTCTCTCTCTCAGTATGGTAGAAAGAAACATTTGTGAAGAGAAAAAAAGAAAATTATAATAAAAGTATAAAGAAAAAAAAAGATAACAGTGAGTGTTAAGCTTCGGTTGTTTTCCTCGAGTATTAAAACAGTAACAACCCGTTTTTGCTGTTTTTGTCTTCGTTTACAAATATAGAAAGAGATATAGAGTGACGAAAATTCTCGTAGAAATATTAGAGTGAGTCACGGATGTGAAAAAAAAATATAAAACCGCTCGTAAAACCGCTCTAGTTATTCTCAATGAGAAATGAGACTTTTGGAGGAGTTTCATCCCCGAAAAGACAACAAATAAATCGCTAGAAAGGCGCAAAGAAGTTCTACTAGAAAGTTTTCAAAATACAGCTCGGACAATATGTCTGGGAATTACTCGGTGCGCTGCGAGCCGGGCCTAATGATACCTATCTGGTCTCCGGTAGAAAATTTGCATCTAATTGACATCATCTTCCGGGGTATAGTGTACTTCTTTTTCTTACTGTATCTGTTCATCGGCGTGTCGATCATCAGCGACCGCTTCATGGCAGCCATCGAGGTGATCACGTCCAAAGAGAAGGAGCTCACGGTACGCCGTCATGGCAGGGAACCGCAGATTATCATAGTGCGAGTGTGGAACGAGACGGTAGCCAATCTGACCTTGATGGCGCTCGGTAGCAGCGCGCCCGAGATTTTATTGTCCATTATAGAAATTTGGGCGAAGAACTTCAACGCCGGCGAGCTGGGTCCGGGCACGATTGTCGGTTCCGCCGCCTACAATCTCTTCGTTATCATCTCTCTGTGCGTGTTCGTGATCCCGAACGGAGAGACCCGCAAGATCAAGCATCTCCGCGTCTTCTTTGTCACAGCCACTTGGAGCATATTCGCCTACGTGTGGCTGTATATCATCTTGGCGGTGACCAGTCCGGGTGTGCTGGAGGTCTGGGAGGGTATACTTACCTTCCTGTTCTTTCCGGCCACCGTATTGACGGCTTACATCGCCGACCGACGACTGCTGATTTACAAGTATCTGCACAAGGGCTATCGGATGAACAAGCGCGGTGTGATTGTGCAGGCGGAGTCTGGGGACTCCGAAATAGGGGTGGAGCTGGAGATCAAGCCGCAGCAAGATGGTCTCCACGGTATAGTGGACCGCTTAGCCGACGCCGACTCCCCCGAAGCGAGGGAGTTCGAGCAGACCCGACGTGATTACATCAATACTCTGAGAGAATTGCGCAAGAAGTATCCCACTCAGCCCTTGGAGCAGCTCGAGGTGATGGCGCACGAGGAGGTATTGGGCAAGGGTCCCAAGAGCCGGGCCTTCTACAGAGTGCAGGCCACCCGGAAGATGGTGGGCGCTGGCAATCTCAGCAGGAAGATTAGCGAAAGAGCGCAGAGCGACCTCAGCGAGGTCAAGGCTGAGCTGCAGAAAGCGGAAGCCGAGAGCATTGACATCGAGCACGTAAACGCCATGAGGGTGTTTTTCGAACCTGGCCACTACACCGTGATGGAGAACGTCGGTACCTTTGAGGTGGGTGTCACCAGGACGGGAGGTGATCTGAGCAAGCCCTGCAGCGTGGACTATTGCACGGAGGACGGATCCGCGGAAGCGGGATCTGATTACGTGAGCGCCAAAGGAACTCTGACCTTTGAACCTGGCGAGACCAAGAAGACTATCCAACTCTCGGTCATCGATGACGAGTTGTTCGAAGAAGACGAACATTTCTACGTCAGGTTTGTGTGAAACCGTTTCAAAAAAATGTTTCTTGCAAATATTCATAACGACACGAACTGTTCGATAAAAAAAAAATAATTTTTAAACCGAAAGCTGAAATCGTTTTTTTTTTGTCGTTTGTTTAATCGATCGAAAACTCAAAACTGTTTGTCACGTTTTAATATCGTCAGAAGTTCATATTTCCTTGTACGTGTAAATATATATTAGCAACTGCGACGGGACGTCTCATATAATTATCGTGCTCAGTGACTAGTAGTTCCTATAGATGATTACGCATAATTGTTCGAACGTAATTGAACTTCCGACGTTGAGATAGAGTTTACGTTATTAAAAAAGCGCGATCGCGCTTCGATTTCGCCAGAAAGAGGCGTGGTTCTTAAAGTGCATCTGTGCCGCATCGTACGTGCACCGCGATCACAGATCATCGATTTAAACAGCGAAAGAGGCAATTATTCAATTGAATTCGAACAAGTAGCATCCGCAATTTGATCAGTGGATAAGCCGCTCGTCAATTTAATCAAGGACTTTAGGAGCAATTAGCGTGGCCGTTTTTCTTCATGCAACTGACGCACTTAACGACGCCCTTTGTACGCCGCACAAGTCGGAAAAATGTCTGAGATGCACGCGCATTTGAAAACAAGGTAATCGATAATTTGAAAAAAAATGTGAGGTGTCGATTGCCATCGTACGTAATTGTAGAATTATATTTTAACGTTTAATTTCATATCTTTCCGCTCTGTCGCTGAAAGTGTTTTTACTTTCCTCTTCTTCGGATAAATATCGCGATCGCGCTAAAATTGAATGGATGACGTCACGTGAAAACGAGTATAATTAGTATAGCCTCTACTTATGTGGGACGACATTACGATGGAGCCGTGTCTTGTTGCGTCACAAAAAAAAACACATACTCTGGTGGCAAAGGACACGACAGAAGTGACACTACACGCGTCACGGCTTTGAAGTTTCGCTCGCTTCAACCGCGTTATTATGTTTTTCAATACGTACATACATATAGAGTTTATCTCTGTGTTTCTTTTTCTCTTTTGCCGCTCGGTCTTCTCGAGAGAGTCTTCCTCTTCTTTAGAAACTCCCGCGAAAAATCGACGTAACACGTCTCGCGGCGGCATGGAAATGCGGTAAAATAACGCGAAGAAAAAAAAAAAGAACGCAAATATAGAACGAATAGATTTTTTTTTTATTTCACGCCATGATCGGAAATTACGGGGCTCGTGTTGATTCGGTCACAGATGACCTGATATTTCGCGTATTATTTTTTGCTATATAGTTTGCGCCTCGCATGTCGCAGATTACATCGTGAGGTCGTGCGCGGAAACCGCACGCGGTTTATAACGTTTAAAAGTTGAGTGTTCACGCTCTCAGATAAACGCATTTGATAATTCGACCGGAGGGAAATCCACAAAAATAATAATGTGCACACGCGGATGTTAATTTTCCTTCCCGTTCCCGGTTAGTAGTTACATTGTTACATTTCTGCGTCGATTATTTATAATAAAGTTTTGCACCGATTTGTGCCGACGATGTAGGTCGAGGAGAGAGATCTGTATTACTTCTTTACACGCGCGTCGCACGATTCGTGAATTTAAACATCATTGGTTTTTATTCATAGCTTTCGCGGTGTGTCTCGCGTGTGCGCGTGAATTATTTTAACATCGCCTTGTACAAGTGACACATAGAGAGAACTTGCGCACGCGATCTCGTGTGAGGACCGAAATCTCTCTTCCTCTCTCTTATTTGCGCTACGTATAGGCTCACGTAAAATAAAAATATAATAAAAGTCGTAATAAACATAAAAAAACCGAAGGGATACAATGAGATCTTCTTGTGAAAAGACATCAAAGAAAATCAACGAATCAGAAGTTTCGAGGATAAAAATTCTCTTTGAATGACAAATATTCAAGATTGAAATTACAGATCAGCCTATCTGCGTATAAATATATATCTGATTAAAGTATTCTGCGGAATAACATTTTTACATGAAAAGTAAAGAAAAGAGGGAGAGAATGGGAGAGAGATTTGACTTTCAGATTACAGGACGCTCGGTCAAAAGCGCTCATCGAATTGAAAGACGACGAAGACTTCAAAAAAATTATTTATAGTACACATTTGTTTTTTAAAAAATATCAAAATATTTATTACTTAAAGTTAAAATGAATATGTGATATTGTATATGAATGTTATTTCTATTAATTTGTATTACTCTGTTTCTCTCGGATTTATAGTGACAAAAAGTTCCAAAGGATTCTGTTGCCGCAAACCTTATCGCGTTGCTATCACGCGAATTCGAATTTCTGTTGTGTTTACGAGCGAGTGTCTCGAGGCAATTCAATACGAAAACGGTTTTATCACGCTCGCGTACTCAACATAGTTGTCGCCTCGCACTTGCTCGCGAACATCGCGAGCGACCGTGGGGACACAGAGTTGTTGGATTATAAACAAGTTCACTTCCCGGAACTACGACCGGTCACTTATCGCGACTATAGATCAGGAGGGATACTGACCTTTCATTCTGAAAAGCTTATAGATACGAAAGAAATTTAAAAATGTCACTTTTGTGACGTATTTACATACGCACTGAAGCCATCGTGTAACTTTAGTTCTGTCGCATTTTGCGCCGGACTGTAGTGCATTTCTTTTTTTATCGATTCGGTTTTTTGTGATATAATGAAATAATATATTGTCAATATCATATTTTTCTGACGTTTTTAGACTCAGCAACGTGTCGCAACCGGCGATGCTCGTCTCGCCGAGTCTGGCAACGGTGATGATCCTGGACGACGATCACAGCGGCATCTTCGGCTTTCCCGAGAGAGATGTGGAACTGGTGGAGAGCGTGGGTCAGTATCCCCTGCGCGTGGTGCGTTACAGCGGGGCCCGAGGACGCGTCGTCATCCCTTATCGCACGGTGGAGGGCACCGCAAAACCTGGCAAACAGTACGTGCACATCGAGGGCAGTCTAACTTTCGAGGACAATCAGACGGAGTGAGTAGTAACGTACTTTCGTTTTCTTTCTTTGAACTGAAATGGTATAATTAAGCTGGATTAATTAATAAAAAGGGAGCAAATTATTAATTTTTTTTTTACCGTGTAGCTTTTTTTATTTTTCATCTCGCCCTTGTCGAGCTCATTAACTCCAAGGGCGAGCTTGTATCAACAATCTCTTTTTCTTTGAATGATTGATGTTCGCTCAGGAAAAGGAAGTTTCATGTCGAAGAGCAGAAAAGAGCACCCCGAGAGAGAGAGAGAGAGAGAGAGAGAGAGAGAACACGTGTGAAGTATGTAAATAAAAGCGCAGAATATTTTGGTTTCTTATAAATTTTCGTGCCGCGAGTATAAAAATGAAGAAAAAATGAGATCGATAGGATTTTCATAATTCACAGCTTTTCGAGACGAAGAAAATATCCAGTAGCTCGTAAGATCGCGTCAAATAAATGTCGTAGGGTCGTAAAGAGAGATCGATAGGAAATTCACTGCCAGAAGGAAAATTTTTACGATGTAGTAACGATCAAACGGTGAAAGAGAAAATATATATAGGAGAAAACGCAAGCGTGTGTTTATTATCGTGTAATTAATCGAAAAAAACCGTGTATGTGGGTGCGCAGTCACATAAAATGTCAGAATATTTTTCTGTTAGTTTCTCGTTAAATCGCGAGTCAGTCAATTTCTGTTTGGATAAAGATATCTATTTGGATAAAAATGGTATTAATCTGTTTCACTTCATTTTTCGATTTTTTTTTTTTTTTTCAATATTTGTTATCGAACATCGATAATAAAACGCGTTTAATAATTAGTTTAATTTGCTGTTGATATATAATTTTTTTTATTATTCGTCCTGTTGTATGCAAATACGAACAACATATTGCTTTAGCATCAACACGAAATGTGCCGATCAAAGAAAGAACGAGAGCCGCTCTTTACATCGATTTTGGATTAATGTGCATTATGAAACACACTGTGAAGTCTAACAATCTTCTTTCACGTAAACCCGGTCGATGTAGAAAAGACTTTACTTCAACGTGATAAAAGAGACTACGCAATGTGATTATTTGATTTTAATCAATAAGTACACAACGAAGCGCCGCCTCCCGCGTGAGTTTTCGCACCGTTTTTTCCCAAATTCAACGTACGTATATGTACGAAAAATACGTTGCGATATAATCTGTTATATTTGCTACACGTTCAAAATGGTTCTATCAGACGGTGTTATCGGATCGTATCAGTTACCGAAGGTGCTTGTAGCGAGCATGTTATAACCGCAATGGTTAAGCACAATGTAAGGATCGATCGCTATCGCGGCATGATCGGTAATTAGAAACTCGCGCCGGATAATTAGATCGCCGGATGTTAACCCCCCCGGTGTGTGCTCACTCTGTAAATTAGCGCGGTATAAAATTACTTCTCCGGGAAAGTTGCACAGTAACATTCCGAAAACAGTAATGTTGGGGATCGCATGTTAAATATAAAGACGGAAACTCGGTTACCTTCGAGTTCACACGCGAGGGTGTACACAATATTCGTTACAAATATTATTTTAATTTTTGCTCCGAGCTCTCTTCAATATTATTACGAGATTATCACAAAAACGTTAACTGTGTGTAGGTTTTAATTTTTATTAAAACATATATATATATATACGCGTATCGATCGATGAACTAATTAAGAGTCGTGTTTAATTAATCGTATAAATAAAATTTTCGCCAATATACAACAATGAGAGACGGAGCGCCACCTAAACCTTGTATTATAATGCTTATCGAAATTTCATAACGCCCGATCGAATGCAGAGATCGCTTGTCTCTGCTGAATTAACTGCACAACAGGGGATACACGATGCTACACAGCGTACACAATACACACTCCTATCTTATCAGTAATTAGCGGCTCGTACGACAGACAATTAATAGAATGTCGCCCCTTTCATCCGTTTGGAATCTTGTATTTCACACGAAACGCGTGTGTATGATAAAATTCCACAATTACATTACACACATCAGACGTCATTTCTTAAGAGATAATATTTTTTTTTTTATTAATAGAGATATTACAAAGAAGAATTTTTAAGAGCTGTTTCGAATATCAAACGTGTCTCTGCGCAAATAAAGCGCGTAAAATTCCGACGTGTCAAAATCATTATTATGGTATTTAACAATATATAGGCCACACGCACACACACACACATACACACACAGACTATTGGTCAATGACAGCTTGTTAGAATTCATGCCTACGAGCAATTGCGTGCTGAGTAGTCGAGCGTTATTACCGCGGTAATCAGAATTATGAAAATATCGTGGAATTATATTCCCGTTGATAATCGGAGCTAAATCTGAAATTTATTCGCGATATTTTCAGATTTACGCGAACATAAATAGCCCGATATAAAATATTATGTTACTTCATTTGCAAATTAAAATAATATGAAAAATCTGAGTGATATTATTAGTAATAATAATTGTGAAATTTAAAATATCTGTTTTTTTTTTGTTTACATTAATTATGAAGAAGCTCGTGAGAGAAATACGACAGAACAGTATTCTCTTAATTGTAGCTTTCCGAGAGAAAATATATCGCGATCTGTCGCTTTCAAGAGCCTGTTCGGAGAATCTTGATAAAAAGATATGGCGCGCGCTTAAAGGCGGGAGACATAATGTTACTCAATCATCTCGATAAGCATCGGTGATGGTGTCGCCTCTTCACGGATAAAAAAAAAAAAAATAGAAGTTTTTAGAGATAAGAAACCGGAGAGAGGTGAACTAATTTTTTCTTTGTTGGAAATAAACGAATCGACTTGTTGTTCGGTGATATTATTTATTAAATAGGTTTTGAGAAAATAAAATTCGCGCACTTAAAATTTTTTTATTTTATCTATTGGTCTAATTAACCTTTACGTTCGGTATTAATATTTTTTTATAATTATATTATTAAATCGTGTGAATTTTTTGCAAGCGCGGGTAAGACTCTCTTGATCCCCCGTGAACCCGTTCTTGTTCTCAATTTGATTATGTGTCTCAAACAATCCCATCGTTACACTCGTTTCCGATGTATGCAACCCTCTCTAATTTCTCGCGATTGTTCGCAATCTCCTTATTCGTGCTTTGCCGAACAACGCGGCGTAAAATTTAATTTAAAGATTTGACTAACGAATATATATATATATATATAAACAAATATATATGTATTTAACTTAAAAATAAATCGAAAACTTTCTGTTCCGATGCAATCTAAGTTAACATTCCGAGTTTGCAAAAGATGTTTCAAGTTCGTCTTTCTACTAAAATGACCTACAAAGACCAGATAAGAATACAGTCGTGCGATCGCGGGAGATACCTTTCGTATATTGTTTCTTCATAAGGTGATTTCGAAGTGGGTCATAAGAATTGATTGTGTAAACTCGAATTCGACGATACAGCTTACGCGCGAGAGAAAGAAAGGGAGAGAGAGAGAGAGACCGCCTTTATATCGATTTAAGAAGGTTTGGTTAATATTACATTGCTAAATATAAAATTGCTTGTGTCGAGAGGGTGGGACTTTTTTTTTTATCTAAAGGGCATTCGAGAGTTTCCAGCAAAGTGACGCGATTTATATTTAATACGAGGTTTCTTGATCGTACCGTGTGTGTACGTATATATACAATTACTAAATAATAACGTTGCTTTATCTCTTCGGTAAATGTTTTATTTAACAATCGCTCGAGGCTTGTTAAGGATTTTGTTTTCAGCACGCGCTGAAGGTGGCTCACGATGAAATATCCTTCACGTGACAGAAAGTAGCTTACTATGTTGAGGTCCAATAAGAAAACAAGCGCGCACAGGTGCTGATATTACCTTGTGCTTACCTGGAACGTGCGCGAAATGAAAAGTGCACCATATCGAGGTCAGTGGGGAACGATAATGGACATCGCGTTCGCGCGAAACGTGCGATTTTACCTTTACGACCCTATTAGACACGGGTTTCTCCGCGTCTTTACCTTATTTCCCGTTTGTGAGAGAGAGTTATTGTCGGAGAAAAAATTATCGCCGGAGCAAACGCGGGCGTACATACATAGCGCGATCTCGACGAAAGTTTTATTTGTGCGAGCGAAACGGTTTTTTTTTTCTTTTTTCTTTCTTTTTTTTTTTTTCAAAGACAGAAAACGGGGAGAAGCGTTTTGTAACTTGTGTAAGTCGCACGCTCTGCGTATCTAAAAATCTCGACAATCGCGCTGCCACAAGAAGATAACGAGTGCAAACTAATGCAAGATAAATAAGTTTTTAATTTTTTTTTTTTTGCATTATATTTAAGCCGATGTCTCGTTTAACGCTGCGCACGTGGGACGCGAAAGCGTCCATTATGCGATGCCACGTGGTGAGAGATTTCGACGAAAGCTCTCGAATGTGATTTTAACTTGCCCGTTCCATTAGCCACTGTTTTGCTAACTTTCTGTCGTCGCTTCTGCTTCTGACCTCATAAAAATGGTCGGAATAATCGACCGCACTGTTCAACGTATGTTGTTATTTTTTTTTTTTTTTTTTTTCAGAAGACAGGGTACAAGAGATTTTGGTGGGTGGAGTTTAGACGTGTGTTCTTTCCATCTCTCGACGAAGAAGGTTCGACGTTTTTCTTATTCGTTAGCGATTTTACACAACGTTCGAAATCTTTGAAGATTTTCAACGTATTTTTTTTTTTTTTNTTTTTTTTTTTTTTTTTTTTTTATTGCCTTTGTGTGTAAGATTTAGTAAAGATTTTTTTTTTAACTCAACTTTGCTCGATAAAGATTTTATTCAATTGTTGAGGCGAGCGCGAGCTTGCGTCGGTACTGCAGTCGTCCGAATGACGAAAGTGCTGAGGGATGGAACGTAGAGCATTCTCGGGGCTTCCCACCCCTCATTTAGCCCATTTATGGGATCGCACGACTGTGCTTTCCTGGGGCTACGCGCAATGTTTTTTTTTTTTTTTCACACATTAGTACTACCCACTTATTGCAATACTACCACTCATTGCCT